ACCTTCCCTCGCCCACGGCCTCCTCTCTTGGAAGTCTGCCAAGCTTTGGCTAAGTGGTAACACTCATTGCTCCACAAGGCCTGATCTGCCAGGTGCTTGGGCAAACAAAGGATCAAGACAAATAGATGTCCCAGTCACGTTTCCCAGGCTAGAAATGCTTACCTATTGCTGTTTGGGATTCCTTTCCCGTCTGCTCTTTTCAGGTTGAATACTTTTGGAGATACTTAGTACTGTGTTTCTTTCTCTCAACTGGCACAGAAGTGGAAAGTTCTGTTTCTCAGTTATCCTCGATGAGGCTTTGCAGTATGGATGTCAGTATCTGTCCAAATACTAATTTCTCTTTAAAAACTGCATTAGTTGAAGTACAAGTAAACTTGGCAGTAGGCACCCAGGGAACAGACTACATTCTTTGGAAAAATAAAATCACAGATTTAAGGTCGTTGCTGGGGTCTTTGCTTTGTCTTCTTCTTCTTTTTTTTTTTTTTAATAAAAAAGGGCATGTATTTTGTCTTGGGCAAAAATTGGATTACTTGATTCAAATTTAGTCGTCTTGTCATTTGTTTGCAGTGTTTCAGCTCTACTTACAACCTCATCGCCAGGTCCTTATTAAAAAGGGAGGAAAAGGAAAAAAAATCTTCCATCTGTTATGAAGGACAGCACGCAGAATTAACCAACCAAGTTTGCCAAGACAGAATCAAACTGCACTGTGACCCATGGGGCTGGCTACTGTTGTGATAGTCACAGTGAGAACGTGGGGTTCGTCCACAAAGGGAAAATATCAATTCACTGCTGACAGTGGGTGTCAGCAGCAGATGCATTTCAGTTGGTGGGGAACAGGGTCTCCTTGACTTGAAAGTAAAGCCAGAAGCAACTTTCTGAGCTGTTTCAGACTACTTTGACCAGATTTTAACCTCAGTTTCTGAAGCAGCAAAGATGAGTTATCGGCTATGCTTCTGACCACGGGAATTTCTGCAATGATCTAACTTCACTTGTTGCTGCTACGAATTCTTCTCAAGTTGTGTCTCATACTACAGAGAGCTCAGAAAAGGTCTGACTTTATCAAACACCATATCTGTTACGGTTCTACTAGGGCTCCCACCCTTGCTGAAGTAGTACAAAAAGCACTGGTGCTATTATTCAAAATAACAGTAATAAAGCACTTGTTCTCCTGAAAAAAGAAAGCTGATAATGTATTCCTAATGTGAAGGTCAGCTCTGCAAAGCTGTTCCACTTCGAAAAAACTTCATCTACTTTTCTTTTTTTCCCCCCTGAACCATAGAGTGTTTTATGCCCATTAAAGCAGATGCAATGCTTACGCAGCTGCCAAGAGAGAAAATGAAAAATGATTACATGAGTTGACTGGGAGATGGGTAACTCCCGTCAGCCAGCAGCAGCAAAGGGTGTTTTGCATTGCTGGTAATTCTGGTGCCTCCTCAATAAATATAACCCCATAAGCTGACACAAAAGCACAGGTGGCCTGTGGAAGAGAGCTAGCAAGGAACCAAGTCTCAGAAGACCCTGTATAACGACATACGCAGAAAGTTGCAGAGCAAAGACTCAGTGCCAGGAAAGTCAAGGCAAATCCACTAAACAAGTAACATTCCCTGCGTGGTACTCATCTGAGTACCTGATCTTCAGGCAGAACGTGGTTTGGTGGTGTCTTCACCAATCTTCACATTGGATGGTCTGAGGGCTACGAACAGGGCTATGGCTCAGATAGCACTCAGATAAAAAGGCACTGATACATACCCCTCCCCTCCAGGTCTCCCTGCGTGGGGGGCCCTCTTAGGTCTTACTCCCTCTTAGGACTTATCTAGGGGTGCACGATGAACAAAATTAAGAGGAAATCTTCAACGCCCTCAAAAAGAATCCTAATATTACTGATACGGCTGTTATTAGAACTAACTTCCATGGATATTGCCTAGTGTTTTCTCCTGTTGTAGGAGATGGAAAGGAAGATATCTAAGGGGGAAAGGCTCCACCTGCAGCCCCGGCTTTGGCTAGTGCAGGGGTAAACTTGCTACTCTTCATCATGCTTGCTGCCCTTTCCATTTCAGTCCTTCTGTCTTGTTTAATTTCAAGGCGGATTTTAAGTGGGAAAGAAGCACGGATGTGGGGCCCGAGTCCCCTTTCTCATGCTGGCACTAGCATTGTGTCATTTTCAGAAAATCTGAAATCTTTAAAAGCACATCTCCCTACAGGATTTGCAAAGACTTCCCTGTGGAGCGACTGAGCAACCTAGGGCAGTCATTCCTTAGGAAAGACGGGAGGATGCTTTAAGGCCTCAGGAGCTCCAGGGGGTAAAATGCATTTTTGTCTTCTCCACACTGCTGGTTCATCAGTCCTTAATCTGCCACAGTCACTAGCTGCCAATCCCACACCTTGACAAAAATGCTTTTCTTTTCTGCCAGAAGGCTGAACAAGGTTCCCTTTTCCACAGTCACGATGAAACTGTGAAAGCTCAACTCACAGCAGATCAGAGTTGGCTCCAGTGACTTCATCTCTTCCTCCACCCTGCCCATTCCCAGCTCCGTGTACTTTTTGCAACTACTTGTCACTTCCTTACTGCAGAAACATTGACACTCAGCAGGAACAGAGGGAGCTATGAGATGGAAGACAGTGGGAGATAAGAAATACAGGCCATGTAAAGGGAGCCTGTTTTTTATTTTCATTAGCACTAGGAACTGCACTGGCAAAACACAGCTGCAATAGAAAAGGTGATAGAGATGGCTAAAAGTGAGAACTACTGTAATCAGACAGGATATTAGGAGAGCAAGAGAATCAGCTGGAGAGGAAGGTTTCAGCAAAACCTGCTGAGGGATATGCAGCCTCTCACAGGCTGGCACTTAACCCTGAACTGCCACGGTGGGTACAGGAGAGAACAAGGGTCCTGACAACATGCGATTTCATTACGTGCAGCATGACAATAGCATTGTCTGCTGGCACAGACCTCGTCTCCATTATGGTTTTTTGCTTTATTCTGCGGCTTTGCTCATGTGCTTTAGTTTGTGGAGAGCAGGGTCATTTCTGTGCTAGAATCACTGGTTGCTAAATATTAAGAAAAATATTTGAAAATATTAAGAACAAACATCAACTTCCTTTAACAAGGAGAGATATAAAACACTTGCAACTGGCACTAAGTGGACAATAGTCTCTGCTCATAAATACTGCAATTTCAGCTTTTAGATGGCTACGCAGGCAGTCTTAACTTGCTGCCTTATTCTAGTGATCTTTCTGTGATCCACCTGCTACTGCTGGAAATTGTGCTGTCTGATTTTTTTTTTTTTTTTTTTTAGACTTCCATTTGGGACTTAGTGATGTAAAGCCAGTCAACTTGTTTCACACTGCATTCAAATTGCAGAGCTAGGTTCATTTTTCATTTGAAGAATCTGTGTCTTCCTAAATGTGGTTAGGTTTTTTTGCCTTTAAGAAGCACAAGTAAGGAAGGGTTATAAGTGCTGCTATAGCCAAATCATGTTAAATGAAAAATAGATTTGTCCCAGAGAAGTCAGTGGTGATACACCTTGTGTCTAAAAGCACAGAGGAAGATGACTTGCCTTCCTAGCACTGTTAAAAAAGAAAAAGGCTGGATAGTTCAAGAGGCAGAATACTTTTTTCAGGTCTAACAATTCCTACAAAACCTTCTGTTCAAACTTTCTTCTGTCGCATCATATGGCTCGACTTCAAAATGAACCCGACCTCAAGAAGATTTCAAATTTCATTTGAGGCTGTGACAAGGGAAAATTTCTCTAGAACTTTGGGGTGGTTACGGCTTTATGCAATCACAGAATGTTTAAAACACACACACCATCTAACCTTGCTGATATAGTCTAACATACCTTGCAGCCAGAGAAAAGAGCAAGCTGTATAGCGTGGCAGTCTGCAGAACTAGCCAAGATCTGACTTGGGAGCTGAGTTCAACCACAAGACAGGATGTTATAGAAAAAGTTTCTCTCTCTGCATCCGTTTTCTTTCACCACATGCTTCTGAGGAATTGAGCAGTAAACCAGGAGTTTCATCCCTGTAGTGAGCTTTGTGTGAAGGTGTAAGTCATTTCAGTTGAGAGCACAACTAGGCCCAGGTGCAAAGTAGAACTGCAATTATTATACAAAGCTGTAAAACTTTCTAAACAATAATATAAGCCTTGCAACTGTGAGGTTAAGGATGCCACCAAAATCCTATCCAGGAGCAGAAGGCAGACGAGGACCAACAGTTCCGATGTTCTGGAAGAAAGCTCCAGGTTTCATATAAATATGAACCCTAAAAACTGCTTTCCAAAAGCTCTTTTCATTCAGGAGCCTCACCAACACCCTTGATCTAGACCAGACTGCACCCTGGAATTTGCAGGCCCCAGCTTAACCTTGCACAACTACTGTCCAGAAGTTGTACCACCTGTACCTGTAGGCCATGTCTCTGCTCAGCAATGACATTTTCTCAGTATAAAAAGCAGACCTGATGGCTGTTCACCCCAGGCCAGAGTTTGCTATATCCATAAATCAGCAGCAGAAGAGGTGATTACAACTTCTTTTGAAGAGTTCAGCTAACCCTCCTGCAAAACTAGAAACTAACTAACATAATGGAAATTCTAGGCAGCCTTAGAAGTGAAACCTCAATTTACCTGAAATCCTTCATTTCTTCACATGATTCAGTATTTCCATATACATGCCAATCAATAGAATAGCTCTATTCCCAGTATTGTTTTATTTTGTTGAAATAAAACACACAGCTCACCAGCTGTGCAGCTGTAGATAAAGCATGATACCACATCAACTGGGAAGTACATTGGGAAGCATAATCAACACTGAAGTGGAGGTGGGGAGGAAAAAAAAAATCAGATAGTGCTATCACACATATTCTGACTAGTGCTACTGTGTACTGAAACGCAGGGCAACGCTGAGAACCCTGCAGCCTCAAGAAATACCCCACACTGACTTCTTTATTACTTCATCAAACAGCAGGGCAAAAACATCCTATAAACAGATTCAGCAGAGTGCAGAGGCTACAGTAAGTCATCAAGTTTATGCATCATAACATATTCAATGTAGGAAATATAAATACAAATGAAAGCATTCTCTAAAACGTTTTACAGCACATCGTAAATTTAGACCAAGCTCCAGCTTCAAACTCCAGTTTCATTGTTATGTAATTAGTTGGTGCAGAGAGTACTGTTACAAGTTTCAGCCTTAATACAATTCCAAATAAGTAAAAACTGCACATTTAAAATAGGTTACTTTGCTATACTTGGCCAAAAAGATAAAAGATTTACCATATACTTCTCCCCATAGCATGTACAACTTTCTAGCTGGCCAACAGGAAGGTCTTCACATTTTCCTTGCTTTCTAGGTTGTTGGAGCAGGCTGTTAGTAATGCTAGATTGCCCCTATTTTCCTCCAACCACATAATCCTCAAGCAGCTCTGAGCAGCTGGCCTCCAACATTAAACACACACACCTCTCAAATGATAAATCACTATTTCAATCATCAAGTTATCAATCGCATCAAGATTTCACTTTTTCATCACCAGCTCTACACTCTTTAGTGGCTTTTGTCAGCTTCTTAAAGATTTCTATATATTTCTTGCTGCCTAAGCCAGATACTGAACTCAAGCATAATTATTTTAGTGCTCATGAGCAGACACAGTTACTTTTCAGATGAGTAACACTGAGTCATCTTCCTAGACTAACCATACCCGCTATACTTCCTTGTGGAGACGCAGCTTACACTAGCAGGAGTGCTTCGTTTTTGCTGGAATAGTTTATACCAGCTCTCCTACATAGCATTTTCGCAAGGGTGAAAGTTATGCCTTCCTTCTGACTGCAGCCAGCACAGGAAAGCTGTACACACTCATGCTTCTAAGCTGTATCAGCATAAAGGTATGGTGTCTGGAGAACGCCCCAGTCAAGCAGCTTGTCAATCACATTTTCCCCACAAAATCATGAGAAACGTTACTTTGTTTTTGTTTTTTTTTTAAACAATTCCTCTTCCTCTCCCAGGGCACAGCCAATCTCATAAGGACTATGATACTTCTCAGAGTCCAAATATATCATTACAGAACAAAGCAAGGCCTCTCTCATACTGAAAGAGTCCCATTCACTCTTTGACACTTAAAGAAAAAAAAAAAAGGCATTCTCAAAAGTTTGTGTCCCATCAGACACTGGGTTCTTCTCCTTGCTTAGTCTTAAGGACTACTACGTTCTAGAGATACTAGCAGCTTGGGAATAAGAATTCTCCCTTTCTATCTGTAATAAACACCTTTGGTTTACTCTGTCCTGGACAGGTGGGTCTTGCAGGAAGAGCAGGAGCTGAAATATAAGCCAGTTCACATCTGAAACATTCACAGCATTGCTAACATTCACAGTAAAAAAAAAAAAAAAAAAAAAAAGTCTAGGATCTTACTGTGGGTAAAGTGCCTACAACCACCTTAATTTAAGGGACCTCTCTCTTCTAGAAAAAGGTCTAGATTAAACAAGAACCCTCTTGTCTCACTGTAGGTTGTTTATTAATTACAAAAAGAATGACTAAAACCCCCTCAGTAAGCATGGCCGTTTGGATAAAGCCTAGAACATACACATCCTCAAATCCACAAATTTTTGGCTCCAAGAGTCACACAGCACAAACATCAGTGTTAGTCCCTCTACAGCTTTACCTTCCTCTCCACTAGTGAAAAAACCCCAACACCCATCTAATCAGCTGATTGCACTTACAGTAACATTCACTTAGTTTTACAAGCAAAAAGAGGTGGTACCCCTTAGATACCAGCTGGATTACACACTAGGCCTTCCAGATGCTGGACCACAAAGAAAAACAAAACAAAACAAAAACAACAGCAACAACAACAAACAAGTACACGGATATTCTGGATTCAGGGAAGTTTACCCCAGACTATGAATAAGCTCCTTGCTTTGAAAACATGGTAAGGCTACCAATGACATCATCACTCAAATAGAAGCAACTGTAACATTCTTTTAACTTGGAAGAGTTTATTTTGTATCTTATGAGAAGCTGTTTTGGGGAAATAGTGGAGGTTCCAGTACCTGCAATACCCTGAACAAGAAGGAGAGCCCACATTTCCACAGGGAAAAAGAATTATTTGCCCAGTCCTTGACACCTCTTCTCATATTCACTCCCGAAGCCTACTGCTACTAAAAAAAGGTGCTAGCACACAGAAAGAAGGTTCAGTTCAATTGCTGAGAGGCAGTAACGCCAAGGATTTCATCTTCTTTTTGTGCCCCCAAAGCCTGCAAAGAAAAAAAAAAAAAAAATCTCAGCTCCACCACAGCCTTTCCACTGGGCTCTCCCCAGTTGTAAAAAGAAAACACAAAAAGCAGGTAAGTGAATTGAGTTAAACAAATTCACACAAAGTGCATTAGTAAGTAACTGTGGGCCGGCAGCCCTGAAAAAAATTCTTTGCAGCTTAAGACAACCTGGTTTCTACAAAGAAATCATGTTTGTACATGTTTGCTAGAGAAGGGCATGGGCCGTGCACTCCAAGGGGAAAGCCTTTAACTAATGCACCTTGCAGATGAAGACAGACCCAATGCTGGCACTACCATGCTAACTGCAGGCCCATGGGGGATCTTCGTGCCCCACAATGCTGCCTTATTTCTATAGGAAACAGAGATAAGAGTCATGACTACATGCCCATCCGTAACCAAGTTCTGGCCAACATAAAACTAGGAATGCTTGCTGAACCTCGACTAACCTCTGCGTACTTTGGATAGGCTCAAAGTCTCTTGAGCTTTAGGAGACTGAAGTGTCCTGTGCCTTACCAGAAGCAGTTCTTGTTCCTGAACTGCTAGCTTGCGTAGAATTGCTTGATCGTCCATACGTTGGAGGTACAGCCGTAGGATCTGTCCATGTACTGAAATAGGGGGAACGTGACTGCGCTCTGATGACAGGAAAGAGTCAGAAGAGGCCTTTATTAGTGACCCCATGAAAAATTAAGAAGGCATTACAAACCCCAACAGCAAGGACGTGCATCTCTGAGGGAGAACTGAACGCATGCAGTTGTTTCAAAGCTGTAATCCTCCCTATTTACAAGAATTAACATGTTGACAGCAAGGACGGCTAATGTTATATCATACTTAATATCTACAGACTTTCAAAAAAGTAAATTCAGCATATTAGAAGCATAAATGCAGTTTAGCAGTGCCTAAATCCCAGCTGTGTAAGATAACAGCACAGAGGAAGACTTTAACTACCTCGAAAAGTTGGATCAATAAGGCTACTGTGTCATGGCCTCTGACTCAATGATTTAAATTATTTGCTTCTATGGATATGGAATTTCCTGCTGTTGAAACGCACAAATTGCTATCTCACACTTTCTGGCACCAGTATTTTTGGGCACATCATTTCAAAAACAACGAATGGAAAAAAAAATACTGCACCAGAGAAGCCTAAATTAGAAATTTTGTTTATATATTTAGACTTAAGTGCTCAGTTAGGCCTCTAATACCTTAAGCACCAAGAGCAGGCGAGTGAAACAAGGGAAATAGAACAGAATCTATGTATAGGTTTTGTATTTAAAATGTAACAAGCATCAAGCCAAGGAAATTGTTATTGTCCCTTACCTTTTAAGAATCCTTAGCAAGGCTAATATAGTAAAATAAGATATCACCTTACATCCTTTAACCTTTACAACTCTCCTCAAAGTGAATTTATAGGCAATTTCTACTTCTGATGGAATCGCTGTCCCTCTTTCATCTCACTTGACTCTACAGCACCAAGACTGCATACTGGACACTTTTTTCTTTATACTTCTGAAATTCTCTGATCTCCCAAGCTTTCATTTCTTTAATAAACAGGCAATCCTGATCAGGCTTCCATCTTTACCAAAAGACTTTACAAAGCAGGCAGATGCTTCAACACACTTCTGCCCGCATGGTTTCTCTTACTCCTACACCTTCAATAATAACAAACAAACACACACACACACACGTGGTCATGTATAACCTATTATATTACTGCGTGCCTGTAGAAGGGGACTTGATACACCTGCAGTTATTTGATAAATAAACTACTTGGGCTCTATAGAGTGCCTGTAGGAGCCATCTATTTCCTCTGGTGAAGCCTAAAACGGCAGCAATTGCTCCCCTTACTAAGCTGTTCATCTAAAAATAAAGCATCTTAAATTTTTAAAAGTGTTTACCAAATATGAACAGCAGATGTTGGCTCCAGCACCAAAATGGCTTTTGAATGCTGTCTGTTTTATGTTTTTCCAAAACGCAACTTAGATATGACCTATAAGCCCTTTGGAAAACCACACCTCTTGGATTTCCATACATGGGCCACAGTGAGACTACAGAGTCGAGTCTCTCTAATTTGGCCACACTGAACATCACGGAAGAGCAGCTGACACCCAGACTGACTTTCGTTGAGATGATGCTAAGACTAGGGATCTCTTTGCAAATAGTTTTATGCTTAATACTTTTATCCGTTTTTTAAGGTGCTTTGTACAAGAATTGTTTAAATGCTCATGTTAAATTTGCAGGCCATCTGTCAGGTCAGAGTATTCAGATAAAGCAGGACAAAGAACGTTAGCCTTCCCCATTCCTCTCTCCCAGAAAGGAGTTTAAAATGGCTTCACTGCTGTAGCTACAGATTGCTCTTCAAAATTGCTCGAGGTAGGATTTTACAGTTTGAATGGCACAGGACAAAAAACTTTGAAACAACACAAGCACAGTATACCCCCAAAAGCATAAATGCTTAATCTTAAAACAAGAGTGACAGCATACATATTTTACCTGTGACTGCCAGCCAAGTAGCCTAGCAAGCCTCCTGCTCCTAATCCAGTCCAAAATCCTGGTCCTGAATTGGTTCCATGACTGGAATGAATCCCAAAGCTGTCAGCTTCTTAAACCAAATGGAAAACAAAAAACATATCAGTTAATGGCACCTAATCCCCATGCCAGCTATTACAACAAGACTCTGCCTTGTTAAAGGCACATTTCTGTTGATTTCGTTAAATTATAGATCAAGCCTAACTTGAAAGGCATGAGGGTTTGGAAAGCAGGGGACGGGGTGGGGACAGGACACACCAAAAAAAACGCAGCAACAAATGTAAGGTGCTTTATGTTAAAAATCAGCTTCCACACAATCTTACAGCCCTGATATTTGCAAAACAGAAACAGTCCCTGCCTGTAGATTTGTGAACACACAAGGTAGATTGAGGGAAAAAAAAAAAGAAAAAAAAGAGACAGACAGACAGAGACAGACAGACAGAGACAGAGAGAAATGAAGAAAAAGCAATCTGCTCAAGGTCACACAGCAGGTCAGGGCAGGCTCAGGAACAGAAATCCAGTCTGTTAAGTCCTAGCAGTGAGTAACACTGGCTCAGTTTAGTAACTACTATTACTTTGTATTATTTTTGGTAGTTCTAGCCTGGCATTTGCTATCAAAAGACTTGTTAACTGCAATCACATTGCAAAGTTTTTATTATGCATGAGTCACCAAGCTTGACAAATACCTTGATGAAACTGCAAGCATATCAAGTGGGTTGACGGAAGAAGAATCATTGATTTCATATGTGAACTGAACAGCATGGGGTTCTGACTCAGAAATAAATGAGTTGTGCTTGGAATTAAAAAGAAAAAAAGCTGCAAAAACAAAGCTGAATCTTTTTTTGGTCTAGAGAAAAAATGAGGACGTGAGAGTAAGCTCAACCAAAGCTTTAACATATTTCATAACAAAATGTAAAAGACAAGGACTGAAATTAATATTCCAGCCTCCCTGAAATATGCCCACCTAAACAAGTGGACCAGAGATTTTGTATGCAAAAGTTGTACAGGGCCTGATTTCTCTTTTTTAAACTGGTGTGGATTGCTTGAAGTCACAGAATACAGAAATCTGGATTTAAGTTATCAGTTTGAGCCTACATTGGATTTGATAGTGAATTTCATTTTGAATGCATTGGAAGAAAGGTAACTCTCACAGGGATGGTATAACCACTAAACTATGCTGATTTGGAATCAAATAGAGCACCTAATTTACTGTAAAAGCTAGGTTAACTAGGGAGATGAACCAACTCATTTGTTCGAGAGCACCATGCCTGAACACTGACTCAGAAAATGGAGTCATCTTTTGTTGAAAAACCTAGAGTAAACATTAAGGATCATGTCAAACCACTGAAAGAGGAAAAGTGGAATATAATGAAGACATGCTAGCTAAACGAGTTTCACAGGATACATTCTGCAAGTTGAGGAGATTTAAAATGAGGCAAATGAAATATTAACAGCAGCAGGTGAACTACGTTGCTTGTAATTACTGTCCAGATTTTCAAAGGTAAACACTTACTTGGTATTTGTGCACATATACACTCAGAAACGTGCTTTTGCTTTGCTGTTAAAACTGAAGATAGGATACTTCATGGATTTAGTATCTAACACTTAATTTTGAGTTGGCCCCAAAATTAAAGGGATTTTCCTCCTCACTTTCTGTATTAGAAGCACCATTACTGCAGTGAAGTCTCAAGAGGAATCACTGGCAGTAGTTATTTTAAATGCCATAAATTAAGGCATATATGGCTCCCAATGTGCATTTTAAGTTTCTCACTCTTCAGTATTAATCCAGGGAAAATATTTTCAGTGTTCCATCCCTTGCTAGATTTCACAGATGCCTGCAGGGAAAGGTACATTGGTGCAATTAACTGAAAAGCAACAGGAGAGAGAAGGGAGGGGAAAAAAAAGACAGAGAGAGAGAGAAAGAGAGACAGAGAGAAGAGAGAACGTGACCCATTACTCTGTCTGCTGTCCAGTATGATGGAGCCCTGTCTTATGACCAGGGCTCTTCGTAACTACCACAATAATGCAATAACATCAGTGGCGTGCATACACAAGGTCACTAACACATATACAGCATGGACAGATTGTCTGAAGTCTGAAACAACTAGAGAGAAATCAATTTTCAAAGCCACCAGTAATACCAGAGCACAAACTCTCTAACTCTCTGGGTCCGTCTGAAAGTCGCTGCTGCACATGCCCTGCACAAGAACATCCAAAGAGTTATACTGGCACCCTCTGTTGGCTAATTGGCCTGAGCAAACCTAGTAGCGCGCATAAATTCTACTCTCACAGAAAGCATGAATAGTCAAAAGTTTCTATTTGAGTAGTAAAGTCTAAGTTTACTTAATCCTTACAGTTTATCTACTTGATAGGACCACTTCTTTATGTCACAAAAAGAAAACAAGACAGAGATAAAGCAACTTGTCAGGAGATGATCTGTTCCAGTGCCATGAGCATCCCACACGATCACAGTCAGACACCAGATGAATAACATTTATTTCCCTTAAACGCTCTAAGCAGCTAATGCAGTCCTCTTAAGTGACAAAATAAAAGTTATTAGTATTCTGGGAAGGGAAGAAGGGGCACTTTTCCTAGCAACAGCCTTGTCATTATTGATAAAATTTTCAATTCCAGATGAAAAGCACTGCATAAAATGCAGTTGTTGCACCTCTAATGATAATTCACAGGCTCTGGGAGCCATAGCTTTAGACCATTGGGACTACACTGAAGCATCTGTTACACAGATGATTGGTAATGATACTCGCCTTGAAAGCCTGTGGGAAAGCAAGCTCTTAATTTTTGCTTTTGAACAAAGAACAGAATGGAAAGCTGGCTGCAGCGCCTGCAGCAAAGTCTCGGCACGGTATACTGCCAGTGTATTAGTTTTCACAGAACCACAGAATGGGTGAGGTTGGAAGGGGCCTCTGGAGATCATCTAGGCCAACCTCCCTGCTCAAGCAGGCCCCTCTAGAGCATATTTCCCAGGAGCGCGTCCAGACGGGTTTTGAAAATCTCCAGCGAAGGAGACTCCGCTACCTCGCTGGGCAACCTGTTCCAGTGCTCAGTCACCCTCCCAGGAAAGTTCTTCCTCATGTCCTCAGTCTATCCCACTGGCACTTGCTGCAGCTGGCACAGTACAATCCAATTTTGAGTAGCACAATAGGCTTAGAGCCCTACCTGTGAAGCTGGGCTTAAAACCAGGAGGAGGGCATGCCTGCTGACTCTGCCAAGAAGGCCTAGAGAATCCATCACCAAAACTCTGTTGAGGCTGCTGGTTACTGAGGAAGAGCTTGTAAACTCCATAAGCAAGAATCAGAAGAACAATTACAACAATTACGCCGAAACCAGAATCAGAGAAATCCTTCCTTGACTGATAAGAGTCGGAGCCAAAGCTTCCGGAGTTCTTTGCCTTCCTTTCACCTTCCTCAGTCAGCTCTAGCCTGAAGAGCAAACCGCAGGATCCTCTTAAGATGTACGGATCATCTGGATAATCATAGCCTTCACAGCTCACTTCGATTTGTCCAAAACGATAGCTGTTTTCCAAATCGGCTTTACATTGCCACTGAAAAAAGGAAACGGAATACAAAGTAGCACCTGCTTCTTGGAAGACGAAAATACCAGTCTGCATCCTCAAATATGCCATGAAATAAAGCAGCAATTATCGGCAAATCATTTAAAAGGTCACAGGCTAAGGAATTTTTGAGCACTCTCATTCTGAAAATAACTAGGAATTTGAAATTAACTAGGAATATTTTTAAATATCCGAAAAGTTAAAAGAACCCGACTGTTCAGAACAGGGAAGAGTTGCAACTGAACAAGTTTGTCAAACATTCTTTTAGCAATACCAGTGCTTCTGAAAACAACCTGTACGCTGTGCAACAGTGACTTAATAAATGCCTGTCTCCTGTAGCCTGGGTAGCAGCTATAAGGAGATATACCCAATGCATTTGATTACACTTACAACTAGAAGGAAAGCAAAAGAAATTGTGATACACACCCTTAGGCATTCATATGCCACTCATTTAACGATCCAATTAAAATTCTGCAGTTGAATATATGTGGATTCTTCAGTCTCATATTTCCTTGAGGCATCTGAACTTAAGTATCACCTCTATCCATACGTGGTACAGATTTTGGAAAAAAATGGTGTCTAAATTAATAACTCAGGATAGCAGGAGGCATTGTCAAGTCAGATTTGATTGTATTTTTACAATACTGCGTTAGTTTTAACAAGTAACTTCAGCTTTGAGTCTTGATTAGTCTATTGGCAGGAGCATAGGCAATAGCTGTCAAAGCAGAAACATTTCTCTATCTCTTGAAACACCTGACATAAGTACTAGCCTGTAAGACAAAAATCATAGAAGTTTGAACTTATTTGTTTTCAAAAGCATAGCTGAAGCAATGCAAATCTCTGCAGAAGTCTTTATTCTACACCAACTGGGCAACCATTTACCTATTCCAAAGCAAGAGCATCCTCAAGGTTTTGCATGAGTTTCATTGTATAAACTTGACCAACGTTTTAAGTAAAACCACTGCAGGATTGTTATGTAGTATTTTTTAACTTAAACCTTCAGAAGGATTTCAAAGATATACCTGCAGCAGCCCTCAAAAATCATTTACAGAGACTTAAATATCTAGGTTGAACTTTACTTATCAAAGGTGCTACTTATCAAAGGTGCTTTAATAAACAGCAAACTGAACCGACTCCTCAGCCTTTGCTGCTCTAATTCAGAGGTCACAAAAGCTGTTGAAAGACAGTTTCATCAAACGCATAACATTAACTTTAAACACTGTTACCTGCACGTCATAGCCATCCCAGCCTCTGTTGTAACACTGGACAACCTCGGGGACAGGGGAACATCCAGCAGTGCCTCCTGTGCACTGTAACTGAGGCACAGCAGCCGTTCGCCGGGAGGTCGTGTACTGACCTCTGCGGAGCGTGAGCGCCTGGACCTCCCTCAGAAGAACCCTCTCTGCAACAGGAGGCACGAAGCTTAGCCACGGTGAGCACACCTGCCCCGGCAGGCTCCCATTCACCAAAACGGCATATCCTTCCCCAGGGAAAGGGCCACAGGGCCGACAGTGTAAAGAGCAAGGCGCCCCGCGGTGCAGCCCCCGCCGCCCCCTCCCGCCATCAGCCCCGGAGGCCCAGGCCGCGCCGGCGCCATGGCAACGGCGGTG